GTGATCTTACGGCTGGCTCCGGCCACTTTCAGAGAGATCAGCGTCCCTGGTTGCTAACCAGGGACACTGATCTCCAAACATCTAACTCTCCCTGGCGCCCCGGGAGTCTCCTGCTCCCGGCCGCCCAGGAGAGAAACAATGCCGTGTCTTTTTTTTATTATTCTGACACGAGCGATGTCAGAATAGAAAAAAAAAATTGTCCTTGACGGCGTCAAAAATTATGAGAAATCCAAAATTTTACAGCTGCCACCAAGCCAGGAATAGAGGGAAACTCCCAAAGGGGATATCTGTTCTGGTGGCAACTGTCTATGAACCCTTTCACACGGCATTCCAATCAGGTCCTCCTGTTAGTTTTTCAGGTGGATCTGATCGTAAACCCAGTATTAGTATATGAGAAGGCGGATCTAAACGGACGTGTGTCCTTTACATTCGGTTACCCCCGACTCTGTCCAGATCTGGAAAACCAAATGGAACTCTGGGGCAGAGCTGATTGGGGCAGATCAAGGGTAAACTGATGCAAAGGGACACATCCACGTCCATTTACATCCATTGCCCCATAGACCAACATGAGTCTGGTAATTTCAGTTCTTTCCTCCATTGCAAGATGACCACAGATGTGTTAACAAAAAGAGACAATCAATGTGTAATTAAATGGAAATGACTCAAATGCCACACAAATGTTTGCTGGACATGGCTGTTTGTGATTGATTTTTATTATGTCTATGGAACTGGATGTAAAGGAAAATCTACCCAACATGAAACAGACAGCCCAAAAACAAAACAAAAAAAACCTGAAATTGGCTTTATTTTCACTATATGCAAAATGAAAACTTGGCTACAGATATGCTTGAAAGTGGAACTAAAGCCAAAACCATTTTTTTAAGACAGGGTTAACCTATCAGCTTTTTTTTGCCATGTCCTATTAGGGAGATTTCCCTTCACTTTCCGTCCGATAGCCATGACAGGAAGAGAGAGCAAATTCATCCAAAGTGAGGGAAATCCCTAGTGGTCAGCAGGGTCACCAGAAATGGTGTCCCCATTCGAGGATTTCCCATCTATTCCAATTCTAATTCCTCTCCACTCTTTCCAAAACAAAAAAAAATTCAGTTTTGGCTTTAGTTGCACTTTAGACCTTTTTGTACTTTACATTCTAAGACAGTTTTGTTTTATTGATAAAATAGGAAATTATTCAGAAAATTGCAATGGCATGCCTTCGGAATATTACAGAAGTAAAGGACAAGCTATAATAATTAGCACCAGAAACGAACTCACGGCTTTTCCATTTTCAAACCACCTGATGGACGGGACTGGAATGCCGGTTGCTGCACACCTCAGAGACACTTCCGCACCAAATGTTACATTCTGTGATTCTGGCACCTTTATGATCTTGGCAAGCACTGGAAATAGAAGATCATGTGACAAGGTCACAAATAATATGCATGTCTTTTCTTAAGTATGTTTACACTTTCACTTCCTGACTTCCTCCACTTTGTTATTGAAGGGAAATTATACTTTTTTTGGAGCCAAGCGTTACATAATCTTAGGTCTAGCTGAATATGACAATGCAGACCCAGATCTATATTACATGTACTTAAACTTTATCCATACTGTGCCTCCTTTAGAATCCAATTCCTCTGTCCTTCTTTCCTCCTCAGTTGTCCCTCTTTTTGCTCTGATGTGTTTTTATTCACTAACAACTGCATAATATTTCTTAATTATCTTGTTTGCTTTTTGGGAAATCAAATATAAAGGAATTGTAATTGTGGAAAAAACAATTCTGGGTTTAATCAAATCTTTTTGCCTTAGAAATTCCTAATGGTCTGCAAAATTGGGGGCGTGGCAGGGGTGTGTCCATTCAGTTTAATTCACAGGAATGTACATGGATACTAGATTTCTGTCAGGATCAACAAGACATTTTCTGTGCTTAGCCTGAAAAAGAAAAGCAATGCAACCACCACATCTAAGGGTTTCTTGGGTTTAGATACACTCTAAATTCACCATTTGAAGAAGAATTAATGTTTACAATGTACAGAATGGTAGAAAAAGAACAAAAGAAAATTGTGGTATATATTTATGCATAGCAAATGTGATATTTAACAAATATTTACTGCAGGTGAATCTTTCTGGAGCATGTGTTTTATCGATTACAGGGAATAATCAACTTTGAATGTCACCTCCACTGCTTTATAAATATGCCCCTAAAGTGTTTATGGACACATTTTTATTCCAGCAATAAAAAGGAAGAAAGAATTAAATAAAATGTAGGCTGTTTCACTGCAGTTATTGGTGTTAAACCCGCTTCCTGGCCAGACCATTTTTCAGTATTCAGCACTGCGGTACTTTGACTGACATTTATTCTGTCATGCAACGCTGTACTGAAATGAATTTTATACCAGTTTTTGGGGACAGATAGAGATTTCTTTTGGTGGAATGTAATCACTACTGGTGTTTTTATTTTTTACCGAAAAACGTACCGAAAATGTTGAAAAAATGATGTTATACCACATTCATAGTTACTCAAATTTTAGGTAAAATATAAAAGACGGGATCACGTCAGGTAAATAGACACCAAACATGTCAAGCTTTAAAATTGTGCACGCCCACGAAATCGCAAAAAAACTACCATACCTAAAATTGGCCACAGGCAATGTTTTAAAAGCCTTTACTGCTCATCAGTTTAGTGTTATCAGTGATTATTGGCCCTACAATTATTGCTCTCACTCCAACGTTTGCAGTCATATGTAACATGTGTGGCATAATCTTTCTTTTCAGACGTAGGCGCACCCAACACATATTTATGTTTATATGTGCATGCATGAAAAGCGGGTGACTTAAATATTTTTTGGGGAATTAGTGATGTAATGTGCCCAAGCATTGCATCTTGGGAAGCTTACTTCAGCAGAGCATTGCTGGGAAATCTCATCTGTATTCTCATGAGATGTCAGGGAAAGGCATTTACTCCTCTGAGATCATATGCATGGTCACATGTCCTAGTCACATGTGGAAGAGTTTCAGGAAGTAAAGGGAGATCTAGTAACAGGCCCAAAATATGGCCACTGCAAGAAGACTGGGGAGGAAAAAAAAATAAGGTATGCAAAAAAATAAAAAGCCTGCAATTATTCAGAAGTATGTGTTTGTAGATTGTCATTACTAAACATTTCTAAAGGTGTGTTTGTTGTCATTTCAAAGATAGGGGTAAAGTACCTTTTTTTTTTTTCATGAGGATAGAGGCAAGGATAACCATGCCTCTAGAGTGGCTTGAATGGAAGCATATGGTGGAGTATAATGAAGTTTTGCGAGCCTGACGGAAAATAGAAGATCCACCGCAGATTTCGCTTTTAATAGCCACAGTTCCATGTTAGCCCATTGCTTATCTGGAGTAGGTTTGCACCAATATTGAAGTTGATCTAACAGTGTTGCTTTATAATACCATTTTAAGTTAGGGCATGCCATACCACCCACCATTCTATTTTTATATAGGATATGTGCCGCACATCTGGGTTTCCGACCCTGCCATATAAAGCGGGATAAATGTTGTTGAAGGGATTTAAAGAAAGAGGAAGGTGGAATAATAGGTATAGTTCTAAAAAAGTAGAGTATTTTAGGAAGAATAAACATCTTTAGCGCTGCTATCCTGCCAGACACTGAAAGGTAGTAGTGAGAAGGGCGTTGTAATTCCGTGGGAATTTGTTGGAGGAGTGGTTTATAGGAAATATAGGAAATCCGTTGGCACATGTAAGTATAACTAACA